AATGAGATTTAAAATTTTCCAGACTTCGAAGAGAAATAAACGCGGGAAAAACATCGTCAATACTCCCAAATTCATATTAAATTCAAAATTCTTCCAATTCGACTCGTAATTCCATATGTTAGATAGGCATAGAGATCTTCCTATCAAGCCACATAAATGCTCACGACCAGGGTCAACAGAGAGGAGGAGAACAGCCCACAAGGCTCTCGGCCAAGGCAAGGAACAGGGACAAAAGAGGCTCCAAACTAAAGCAGGGGACAACTGCCAAGACCTACAACCAAAGGCAGCCCAAAGCACAAGCAAGGTCCACGGCCACAACAACCCAAGACACAAACAAAGCCCACAGCCACAACAGTCCAAGACACACACAAGGCCCACAGCCACAACAGCCCACAGCCACAACAGCCCACTAGATCTGAACCAAGTTTCAGCAAGACCAAAACGAGCCCATACCAAGCCAAACCGAGCCCAGCAAGGCTAGACAAAAAATAAAAACAGCTCCTCACTAGATCTAAACCGAGCTCAGCAGGAAACAAAGCCAAAAATCGAGCCCAATCGAGAAACGGAGCCAAAGCCGAGCTCCCAACATGAAACAAAGCTACAGCCAGCCTCCCTCTGTAAATAAAACCAAAGCCAGCAAAGGTAAAATGAGCCAACACAGCTTGCCTTAGAACCCAACCAAGCCCAGCAAGGCTAAACATACTCAACCCAAGCCCAGCAGAGGTTAAACATACCCAACCCGAGCCCAGCAAAAGCCAAGCAAAGCCAAAACCGAACTCATGAAGGCATCAAAGCCAAATCCGTGGCTTCGAATCAGCCAAAATCAAAAATCAACAAGAAACAGTAAGCTAAAACCGAGCTCAACAAATACCAGAAGCCAAAACCGAGCTCGAACAGAAACAGTAAGCCAAAACTGAGCTCAACGAGATCAAAACAAGCCCAAGCATTGATATAACCTCATATTTTAGTAGCAATTAGAGTTCCAGCCACCTGTAGGCAAAAACCAAGTCGTCCAACCTGCATATCTAAATATTCCACGCATGAAACGGTTCCAACAAGTATTTGAACAGGGGTGATGCCACATGAGGAGCTAAATCAAACTCCCTATATTCGTGAGAAATAGAAGAAGCTCTTCAACATGCATTTTAAGCTAAAACAGGTGATAAAAAGCTAGAACCGAAACTCCAACATGCTTGCCAAAAGTGCTAGAACCATTTCAAAGATATATCTCAAGCTTCCTATAAGAGAACGACACCACAACTCCATCTCAGCCAAGTAAAAAAAAGAAAAAAGCATGCTATTTCATCCAACAGAGACAGGCTCAAAGCCTCGGCCAAGAGAAAAACCGCAAGGCAACATGGCACCAGAAGAAAGGGGAAGAGAGGGGTACCTCGAGAGTGCTCAAGCAAAGCAGCACAGAAAACCTACTCAAAGAAAATGCTCTCCCAGAATTTACTTTCCACTTTCCTCTAGCTAAACCTTCAACCCCAACCAAAACAGCCAGCCACCTCCCTTATAGGCAGGGAACAGAGAAGAAGAGAAAAGAAAGCCACCCACATGTCCACAGCCCTCGAATCGGGCCAAGAAAGAAAAAGAAGTGCTCCCTGCTCGCAGAGGGCGAAGCCACCGAAGCACCTCAGACCGAGCGGCCAACCTAGTGGCAGCGAGGGAAACATCGGAAAGAGGAGAAATGCCATTCTAGTGTACCAGAGAGCAAGCCTCACAGAGCCAAAACTACCAAGAAGAGGAAAGCCACAGCGTATAAAGACTGGTCTCGCTTCGGGAAGGAAGACCGCGGGCAACAGTGCGTCAGGTAAGGACGAACGGGGTCAACCCTCCTCGCGCGGAGAAGGACAAGCTCGGTCGGCTCGAGAACGAGAAAGGGAGAAAGCTAGGCACGCGAGAGGAAGAGGGAAAGGAGAAGAGCGCGGGTGCGTGCGTTAGAGGGATTAGGGCCGAAAGAGGAAAATATACATATATATATATATATGTATTAAATTATATCTGATTTACTCGCACGCGGTGACGTAACAAAATGGGTGCCCTCCCTAGGCAAAATCGACATTCCGGAC